GTTGGTAGAATGCTCTATATACATCTATGAGGTCAAGTTGGTTGGTTGTGTTGTTAAGTTCCTCTGTAGCATGTCATTTCTTTCTGGTTGTTCTATCCTTTTTCGAGAGTTGTGTGTTGAAATCTCCCACTATAATTGTGAATTTATCTATTTCTTTCTTCAATTCATTAAGGTTTGCTTCATGTATCTTGGTGCTCTTTCGTTGGGAGCAAATATGTTTATTATGGTTATGTCGTCTTGCTCAATTGACCCTTTGATCACGTAATAGTGTCCTTCTTTGTTTCTTATGCTGGTTTTTATCTTAAAGTCTACTTTTTCGGAAATTAGTATTGCCACTCCTGCTTGTTTATTGTTGCAGTTGACTTGGTAAATTTTTTTTCTATCCTGTAACTTTTAGTCTGTTTTTGTCTTTGTGTGTAAGGTATGTCTCTTGCAGGCAACATATTGATGGATCTTGTTTTCTTATCCATTCTGCCACTCTTTGTCTCTTCTCTGGTGGATTAAATATGAATTGATTGCTGTCATTATGTTACTTTTTTGGCGGGGCTGTTCATTCTTTGGTTCTGTTTTCCTTCTTGTGTTGGATTTGTGGTATTTAAGTTGTTTCTTGTCGGTTTCTTCCTAGTTTCTATGTTCACTTTTTCTGCTTGGGAATTTGTTTTTATTATATATTGTGGAGTGTTAACTTTTTTGGGGGTTACCTTGTAGGCTACTAACTTTTGTCTGCATTTAGGGTACTTCATTGTAATCTGTAATTTACTTGACATCCCCTCCACTTGGGCTTCTGTTGCTGCATTTGTCCCTCTTTTGACATTGATATATTTTTGGCTTTCAGTTGATCTCTCTGCTCCTTTGAGTTTGTTGTTGTAGTCTCGTTCTGTTCTGGACTCTGCTATCTGTTGGTTGTATTACAGGTGGTGTTGCCATACCTGTCAATCTGTTTGTTGTCTGTTCTTGTTGGGTCTCCGTGCACAGAACTCTCTTTAGGATGTTTTGAAGTGCTAGGTTGGTTTTGATAAAATCTCTGATTCTGTTTATACTGGAATGTTTTGATTGCACCATCATATTTGATTGATAGTTTTGCTGGTTAGGCGATTCTTGGTTGACAGTTTTTTTCTTGCAGGACTTTGTATATGTCTCCCCATTGCCTTCTCGCCTGCATGGTTTGTTCTGAATAGTCAGAGCTTACTCTAATTTGCTTGCCTTTAAAAGTTATATTTCTCTTCTCCCTGGCCGCTTTTAGTATTTTTTCCTTTTGATTTTGGAGAGCTTGATTATTGAATGTCTTGAGGCCTATCCTTCCTGGAGTACATTGGTCTTCTTGAATGTTTATCTTCTCATCTTTCAAGATGTTAGTTTCCAATGCTGTGTCAATCCTATTTGATTGTTCCTGCAGTACTTTCCTTACTTATTTTCCTCGACCCCTTTTCAGAGTATTTGAATTTGTTTCCATATCATTCTTCTGAATTCCCTCTCAGGCATTCCCAGAACCCGCTTCTCTTCTGTTTTTAGACGTGTTTCGATAATGTTGTTTTTTATTCATCATGGTTATTATATTATTTATTATTAATATGATCAGGAGATGGGCTTCCCTTATCTCCTGTAATACGTAGCAGGTGTTGTTAGGTCTTGTCTTAGTGGTGGAGTATTATGGTGTATGCTTATCGCTTGGCTATATGGGCACGATTGCTGCTGCTTCTTAGGTGAAATAGGGAGAAAAAGCTCCCACCTCTGGAAAAGATGTGTGATCAAAAGGACCAAAAGCAGAAGTAATATAAACGCATAGACAGAAATCACCACTTTGGAACAGAGATGCTGCTTTGGTCAACTTTTCTGTGCTACACCATCAGTGTATGTGCAAATAGAAGCCTCCAAGAGGGGTGGGGTAACCACTCTTTCAGGCCTTTCCTCTAGCCACTGCCGTATAGGTTGGCAGATATATATTGGGGAGTTAATGGGAGAAAGAGCGACCACTATTTATGTATACTCTGAATGTCAGTTATCTTGCATGTGCTCCGCGCCAATCTTGGGATGGTTGAGACCTGTTCTGTTGGGGTTTTATAGATTGCCTTGAGTTTGTCCTGCCCAGCGAACTCAGACAGCAAGCAGCCCAGCCACGGGTTGCAAGGTTGATAGCTGGAAATTCTAATCTGCTCCCTGGGAGAAAGACTACGTGTCCCACCCAGGCTCAGATGCACTTCCTCAGAACCCTGGTCTGGGTGTTTGCGGTTATCTGTGTGTGCACAGTGCAAATCTCGGAGTGGTTGAGTCCTATTATGCTGCGGGTTTACAGGTTGCTCTCTGTTGATTGTATTGCTACTAGACTGGTCTGGCAGCAGCTGCCATGGCTTGCTAGAACAATAGCTGGAAGTTCCACACTGCTACCTGGGAGTAGGGCAAGGTGCCCTGTCCCAGCACAGATACAGGGCTTAAGATTTGGGCCGGCAGGTGACGTCAGAAGTCGCTGCCCCACTTCTTCTCTCTGTGCCGTGGGTAAACTGCCCTTCTTGATGTCTGAGCTGAGATCTCAAGCTGGGACAGGGAGGGATGTATAGTTCCCTGTGGCTTTGATTATTGGTTGGTTGGTTGATTTTGCTGGAAACACCATTTTCTGAACGGGCTGGCTTTAGCCCCGCCCTCTAAACTCTGCCAGGGCCTAGTAGTTGTCAAAGTGGTCCACGAGAGTCTTAAGATGCCCGTATTTTGCTTAGTAGCATGATTTTTTTTCAAAAATGCGAGTTCAGGAAACTGAAGTCCTAGAGCGTATGATAGTTCAGAAGCTGTGGGTTTACTATATGAACGCTTCCTTTGTGAGGTTCGTCTCCCTTCTCACCGGAGCGTTCCCTACCTGGCTCCCCTGGCTGCCGCCTCGAAAAGGAAGTCCTGATCAGTACATCTTGATTGCAGGTTTGATCAATTTCAGATTGAAGAAGTTAGTAGAACTTCCAGAATCACAGCAACTCACAAGCCACCACAGTATGACAAACTGACAGAAGTGTGGTGGAAGAATAGAATACTTTGTCAACTTTCACGTGCACATGCACATTAGGTTATTGAAAACACGTGGCTTGGGTCAGGTGCACCTTAGTCCTCAAACTGACATCTTTGCTTTTGAGCACTTTAAAGAGCTCTTGTGCAGCGGATTTGCTTAATGCAATAACCTTGTGTAATTTGACTGCTGCTTTCATGAGTGTTGGTGTCGATCCAAGCAAAGTTAAGTCTTTGACAACTACAATTCTTTCTCCATTTATATGAATATTGTTTATTGATCCACTTTTGAGGATTTTTGTCTTCTTTACATTGAGGTGCAACCCGTACGAAGGCTGTGGTCTTTGATCTTTATCAGTAAATGTTTTAAGTCCTGTTTGCTTTCAGCAAGCAAGGCTTTATCATCTGCATATCGCAGGTTGTTAATAAGTCTTCATGGCTATCCTGAAGCCCTGTTTTTCTTCATATAATCCAGCTTTTCAAAATATGTGCTCACAATCCAGATTGAATACGTTATCAGTGATGCTAAGGAGATGCTTCAGATAAAATGAAAAACAAAATGTGAAGGTATTTTACAGCAGCATTTCAGAAAAGAATAAGAATTCAAACATACTGTTTTTATTTTGTCATGTTAGAAAACAATGTTGAAAATCAGTTAAATAAGCCTATATTACTTTTCCAAATACAACAATTACTCAGAATAAAAGAATGATTTTTTGCTTCTTCCGACTTCCTCCCAAAGTTTTAATTTTTAATAAAGGCATTGCTTCCTTTTTTTTCTCTGTTACAAAGTACAGTAAGAATTTTAATTCCAATGTTAGTATAACTATTTTATCAGTATTTGTTGTGGATTTTTGACACTCTACGCTATGAGTCAGAACTGACTCCATGGCATACAACAACAACGATCCATAAGTAATATCCTCCTGTTCTACTTATTTAGCACTTATAAAAGGTATGATTGATGTGTTTAAGCACAGTTATTAATACAAATTGTGCAGATCATACACCCTTGTTTGCTGTATGTAAAGAGGACTTAAAATACTGATAAAGATTAAAGAGCACAGCCTTCGGTATGGATTGCAACTCTATGTAAAGAAAACAAAAATCCTCACCACTGGACCAATAAACAACATTTTAATCAACAGAAAAGATTGAAGTTGTCAAGGACTTCATTCTTCTTGGATCAGCCATTAACACTCATAAAAGCAGTAATCAAGAAATCAAATGACATATTTCATTAGGCATATCTGCTGCACAAGACCTTTTTAAAGTGTTGACAAGGAAAGATGTCAGCTTGAGGATTATGGTGAGCCCTGACCCAAGCCGTGGTATTTTCAGTAACCTCATATGCATGTGGAAGCTGGACAGTGAAAAAGGAAGAACGTTGAAGAATTGATGCATTTGAGTTGTATTGGAAGAGAACATTGAAAGTGCCATGGGCTGCCAAAAGAACCAACAGATCTGTGTTGCAAGAAGTACAGCCAGAATGCTCCTTGGAGGCCAGGATGGCAGACTTTGCCTCTCATACTTCGGACATATTGTCTGAAGGGACCAGTCACTAGAGAAGAATATCAGGTTTGGTAAGGTGGAGGGTTTGGTAAGGTGGAGGGTCAGAGAAAAAGAGGAAGACCCCTAACCTCTAGCGAGATGGTTTGGCGGTTTGGCAGCATTAATGGGCACAAGCATGGCAAGAACTGTGGAGGTTGGCCCAGGACCAGGCAGTGTTTCGTTCTGTTGTGCATAGGGTTATTATGAGTCGGTACCAACTCTATGGCACTTAACAACAATTAATAAAATTAGTAATTTCACTTAACTTTCTTAATATTAAATCACCTGTCCCTGGATTAAATTCTGCTTGTGTTATTTTTTACTCTTTTAACTTCTACTTTGTTACTATTTTATATCGTTCAGTGTGACTATATTAAAATGTACCGTAGTTTAATTTTTGTAGTGCTGTTTTTAATATTTTCGGTGATAAAACAGCTATTTTGTATTTTCTCAATTGACAGGTCGCGGTTCAATCTCAGAATTCTTCCATATTATGAAAAGGAAGTTTACCAACAAAGAGTGGGAAACAATAAGAAGCTTTAAGGATGAATGGACTCAGCTGGACATGTTTTATAGGAATTGGGTATAATTTCTTTCTCATTTGAAAGTAAATGTCTATAATGCCTCTAATGTCTTTGAGCACAAATGCTGCAGTTACCCTGTGGTTCATGTAGTGTTTGAAATAGTGGGTCAGTACTTGCAAACTTCATGATTCCTATGTATCTATGTTATATAATGACATTCATTTAAAAAAATTAAACCTATATTTAATGCCCAATTAGAAGGTACTTATTAAAGCTAAACAATGCAAAGGAACTCTTACACAGGAAGCATTACACGGCATACATCTAGTTAGCCATTTACTAGTTGACAGAAGACAGTTCATAAGTTATTTAAATTCTCAAAACAACCCTACACTAGTAAGATACTAGCGTTATCCCATTTTACAGGTTAAGAGGATGGAGGCAGAGCTTTAATTGTCTCTGGGCATTTTAACAAAACCAGCAAGTTTTAATATAGTGTGTTGTTGTTAAGTGCCATCGAGTCGGTTCCGACCCATAGCGACCCTGTACAGGGTTTCCGAGGGTATAAATCTTTACGGGAGTACAAAGCCTCATCTTTCTCCCGCGGAGCGGCTGGTAGTTTCGAACCGCTGACTTTAAGGTTCGCAGCCCAATTCGTAACCACTACGCTAAAAATTCAGATGTGTTGGGGGCTTTTGAAAAGAAACTGTCTTTCTGTTTTTAGGCTTTGAAAGAAAGCTTCATAAAAGCCATTGGTGTTGGACTAGGATTTGAATTACAACGACTTGAATTTGATATATCCCCATTAAACCTGGATATTGGCCAAGTTTACAGAGAAACTCGTTTATTCCTGGATGGGAAGGAAGAAAAAGAATGGGTGTTTGAGGTAAGAAATTTAATAAACTTGCTTATTGTGAATGCAGTGTATGTATATAAGAACAGACAGGAGTTCCTGGGTGGTGCTAGTGGTTATCATCATTGGCTGCCAAGGAAAGATTGGAGACTTCAGTTCATCCACAGGCAACTTGGAAGAAAGGCCTAGCAGTATGATAGACTTCCAAAAAAGAATCATCTATTATAAAACCTTTGGAGCACAGTTCCCTGACATGCATGGGGCCGCCTTGAGTTGGAATTGTCTTGATGTCCACTTGTACTGGCAGACTAGATACAGCTGGATTCAGTCATGGTGCTCTGGTGGTAAAGTCTGGAATACTGTGACTTAACATTTAAGCTGTTACTTGAAAGGTGAGTCATAGTCAAGTAACGGTAGACGGGAAAAGGCTCCTAGACATAGAGGACAGGCCTGTGTGTTGATCCCTAGCATGGAAATAATTTGGGGGATGTTGTTGTTGCTGTTAAGTGTCTTTGAGGCGCTTCTGATTCAGCAACCCTGTATTGGGTTTCCGAGGAGCTGCTGGTGGGTTTGAACTGCCGACCTCATGGTTTACAGTCCAGTGTGGATCCTACAGCACCACACCTAGAGTCCAGTTTTGATATTAGGAAGAGCCAGAAGAGATTTGTGAGAGGTTCTAGAAGAAACTAGTAGTCACGTGGGGCTTAAAGATTTTAGTCTCTCTATAGAGCGTAGTGTTACGAATCGGGCTGTGAACCGCAAGGTCAGCACTTCGAAACTACTAGCTGTTCCGCAGGAGAAAGATGAAGCTTTTTGCTCCTGTAAAGATTTACAGCCTCAGAAACCCTGTACAGAGTCGCTATGAGTCAGAACCGACTCCACAGCACAAACCACACCACATCTATGGTGTCTGACAATAACAATTCTTAACTATTAGAATAATCCAATACAAACTTTAAGCCAAAAAAAAATTAGTGCCTACTGGAATGGTTTCTTACATATGATTTTCTCAGAGTTATATAAAGTTAGGGACGAGAACACTCAGAACTTTGTCTTTTCCCTCTCTGCTTTAGTTTTCTTCTTTCCATGTTTCTCTAACACACCAGCTTTCTCAATTTCTCTGATCCCTGTGGTAGGAAACATCATTGCCTACCAGTCTTGCATAATACAACAGTTTAAAAACTTAAGGTATTGCTGAACCCCTTTCTGTTTCAAACCCAAAAATCTCTGGGCAAGGGATTCACTGGCTTAGTTGGGTCAGAAGCTTAGCTCCATCTAGTCAGTGTCGCTAAAGGAGTGGTCTACTATGATTGGCTCAGTTTATGTCTGGTATAGTGTACCTAGGGAATCTGTTATGTTATGTGATTGTTTTGCCAGAATTACCTGAATGATGTGCAGAAAAACAGTTCTTGAATAAACAATTTAACAGATGTTGAGTAGGGAATATTCAGATCAGATTTCTAAGGAAGTGAGCAGTCAAAGCTGATAAGAACAGTGGCTATCAGGATTATATCGAGATATAGGATACTGCAGAACTAGTGAGTTGTTACAAAAAAACCCCAAGTGAATATGTCAATTGAATAGAGGGCTGGACTAAAGGGGTAAAATTATTAGCATGTGGGCAATAGTTGGTCATCGAGATTTTTAGGTGAAGCTTTCCGATTACTAAAGGAGAGCTCCGAGGTGAAGCTAAGAAAGGTGCAGAGTGAGATGGGAGAGAATTATAGGATAAAGCCCTTAAACACATATGGAGAAGTTAATCAACAGAGTGGCCACAAGAGATCCAAATAAGAGTATGTTTAAAAAAGAAAGCTGTGTTAATAGCTGCCAAGATACCAAATGAGTTTTGGATTTATCAGTGTTAAAAGACAAGCCATACGATAAACACAACTGACCACCAATCTCAAGGTTGGCAGTTCAAACCCACCAGAGCTTCTTGGAAACCCTGTACAGGGTCACTATGAGCTGGGACCAACTTGATGGCACTTAACAATAATGCTTTAAAAGATAATAATGTTAAAGATTATTTTGATACTTGGAGGAAGAAACGTTACCCTTAGGAAAATTAACTGGAATCCTTTTTTCTTCTTATTGTCAGTTAATAGGTTTTCACTGTACACATTAGGATTTAGCTTTAGCTCCTGCATTCAACAGAAACTGAATTGTACGTATGTTCATAACTGTTGGGAAGGGTGGTGGTGGTGTGCTGTGGAGTCAGTTCCTCATAACTACCCTACATAGGGTTTCCAAGGCTGTAAGTCTGTATGGCTTTACAGGAGCAGAAAGCTTCATTTCTTTCCTACAGAACAGCTGGTAGTTTCCAACTGCTGACCTTGAGTCCAACTCACCAACTCATAACCACTATGCAGATCTCCTAATGTGAAAACAATAACGCAACTAGGTGGGCCCTTTGTTGTTGTTGTTAAGTGCCGTCAAGTCTGTGTGTGTGTGCAACCTTTAGACGGTTTCCGAGCCCCAGCTGGTGAGTTTGAGCTGCCAACCTCATGGTTGGCAGTCCAGTACTGATTCTACTGCGCCACACCAGAAAGTCCAGGTAAGCCCTTTACTGTAAGCTAATTACAGAGTGACTTCTATGCACTGAAGTATAATGTTTGTTGTTCAACATAAAAAGGATTTCTACAGTGAAAGGAATTTAGGATTTTGAGGAGTAGGGTTAGAATCTTTATCTTTTTGACTTTTATATAAGCATTACTTAACATACCTTTTTGTTGTTGTTACTGTTTTTAGGCACATTTTCCTGTTACCATGAATGAATTGAAAGTTTATGATTAATAAATGAAATTTATGTTATAGCAATTCCAGTGGTTTTAACCTAAATTAATTTGTAGCCAGAACATCTCCATATGTTTTAATCTTAATATGGGGTCCTGGTGTTTCTTCTGTAGGATAAGAACTGGACTGCTAACTGCAAGGTTGGTGGTTCAAAGCCATTAGCCACTCTTGGAAATCTTACACAAGATCACTGAGTAAGAACCCACTCAATAGCACTTGACAACCACAATGATTTTTGAGGAACACCCTTCCTTATTCTTACCTATTACTGAATTTTTTTATTGACGCAAGTAATAATACTAATATTTTCCACTGGTTTTTAGTTCAAGGAAAACGATTTTTCTTTGTTTTGGCTACAGTAATAAATGACAGTTGTTGAGGCATGCTCAAAACATACATAAAACGGATTAGGCCCATGATATGCCAGGATCTTAAAAATTGTTTTGTAACATATTCTCTGTGTCTTTTTAAACATACTGTCGTTGGCTTACTGAATTTAATGGTTGGTACTTTGGGTACTTCAGATACATACAACAGTATAAAGAAGAGAATAAAAGATAAAAGGTTGCTAAATAATGTTTCTGAAAAGGTTTCTATTTAAACTAATGATGAATACCATAATCAAATCTTTGCCTCATTATCCATTATATGCTAAAACCCCCATCTCCCTTTGTTTTATAGAGTATAAATAAAAAAGTACTTGTTCTTTATAAGTCTTACTTAAAAGTTTCAAGTATGATTTTCAGGGACTTTAGTAAATGGCTAATTAAATGCTTGCAAACCAAAGTTTGTAATCTGATGGGTTTCAGTGTATATTTAAAAAATAAGCATATGCGAACATATCATCATTTAGCAGTAGGTATACATTGTATGCCTCTAAGACAGCACAAGTCTTCTATATATTATTCCTATTGAAACTATCTGAATAAAATTAAGAAACTCAGACCCAAAAAAAAGCAGTTTTCTCTTTTGTTAAAGAGGTAGGGCCTGAACTTGAAATCTGTGGTAGTTTCTAGATGTTTCTAGATTAAAGTGGGCTAAGGTGTTAGTGAAGAATATTGTCGAAGAACATATAATGCCAGAAAAATGAATAGGTCTCTCGTGGAAGAAATACAACCAGAATACTTCTTAGAAAATGTGAGACTTCTTCCCATTTGGTTTTGACATTTTAACAAGAGGGACCAGTGCCAAAAGAAGTACATCATTCCTGCTAAAGTGAAAAAGAGAAAGGTGCTCAACAAGATGAGTTGACACAGTGGTTCCAACAGTAGGCTCAAATAACGCTCAAGAATAGCAACAACTGGAGGGTGGAACAGGATCAGTCAGTGTTCTGTTGTGCATAGGCTTGCTATGAGGTGAAACCAACTCAGCGGAACCTAGGAAGGACTGGCTCATTTACTAAAAGGGGGAAATACTATAAAAGGCTGTATTTATGAACAAAATTTGTAATATAGATAGTAGATGGCAGTATTAATTTAAAATTTACTGTAGTTATGTAATAGAATGTGGCTAATAGGGACTACGTAGTGAAATCTTTGTCAGTAAAGGGCTAGAATGCAGGTTGATTTATCAAAATGGCTTGGTGGTGGGGCAGTATCTATATATATGCAGTATGTATCTATTTGTGCATGCATAGTATACACAGATAGAAAGTGATACACAGAGTGAAAAAAATGGAAGCAAAATAGTAATCTGTATTACCTACTGTTTGTTGTTTTTCCAGGAAAGCAAAATAGATGAACATCATTTTGTTGCAGTAGCTCTCAGGAAACCCGATGGATCTAAACACCAGGATGTAAGACTTTAAGAATTCACATTTTTTTCTAAAAAGCATTAATCTGTGTTGGTGGTGTTATTTATGTTGAAGGAAATAGTAGTTTGGCTTATATCAGATTTGAGGGTTTTTTTTTTTTTTAATTACCTATGTAAAAATGTCTCGTACATTTTCAAATTATTAAAATCATCTGGGTTTGCTCAGAACTTAAGTATTGATTTTTTAACGGTGACTTATTTCCTAATTAGTTGAACCTGTTGGCTGTAAGGGTACAAAGTTGCAGGTTAGTGGATAATGAAATTATCTTCCAAACTGAGTTTCTCTTCCTTTTTAAAATTATATCCTGACTTAATTCATAAATTTATTAATAGTGTTAAATGTGAAGATTGTGTGTCATATATGGCATAACATTTGCCTCTATACTTTTTTTTCCCTAAAAACTTGGTAAGTTGTGATTTTTTAAGGGATACTGATATGTTAAAATACTGAAATTATAGGCAAGCCTTAAGTTTTAGGTCAGGTCAAGTCTAGTGTGGAACTGTAGGATAAACATTGGACTGTTAATTGCAAAGTCAGCGTTTCAACCCACCAGCTATTACTTGGCATCATAGGGTTGCTATGAGTCAAGTGATTAGTGATGTTAAATCATTTAACAACAAAACCAACAAACATGCATCACTACCTGTAGAAAAATAGCTCAGTCTACCAACCATCGATTGAAATTCTTAACTGCCTTTAAAAGGACTGGCATATTAAAATCGACGCAGTATCTGAAGGTACTGTGATGCAAGTTAACCTTCCCCTATCTACTCAAGTCCCATGATTTATATTCTCTGCAAATACCTTATGATGTTTCTGTAGAGCTTTAGAGCTTTTGAAACATTTAGTTTCACCAGATAACACCTATTTAGGTATCCCGTAGCGTAGTGGTTACGAATCGGGCTGCGAACCTTAAGGTCAGCGGTTCGAAACTACCAGCGGCTCCACGGGAGAAAGATGAGGCTTTCTACTCCCGTAAAGATTTACACCCTCGGAAACCCTGTACAGGGTCGCTATGGGTCGGACCCGACTCGATGGCACTTAACAACACACAACAACAACAACACAATATAGTGGGAAGAGAACAAGAGTATGATACAGGCTTTAGGCCCAAGTGTTAAATTAATGAGCTGGGCCAAATTGTTCTTCCTGGTTCTCAGTTTACTCATCTATAAAATTTAGATAGTAAGCATATCATAGAATAGCTATGATAATAAATCATAAAGCATTATATGAGAAACCATATTGTCTATAGTAGAATGTTAGAGGAAGCCTACACTGTGTTATGAATAAGGACTCTTAGTATATGATATAGTCTAAAAATTCATTTTGAGTAGTTATGGGCATTGTATCAGATGTGGTGCTGTAGAATAAGCTCTTGACCAAAAGGTCAGTTTGAACTGAAAGGTTGGAGGTTCAAACTCACGAGCTGCTCCTCATAAGCCCTATTTTACGGTCACTATGGATTGGAGCTCTAGTAGCATAGTGGTTATGAATCGGGCTGCGAACTGCAAGGTAAGCAGTTCGAAACTACCAGCTGTTCCACGGGAAAAGGAGGAGGCTTTTTGCTCTTGTAAAGATTTACAGCCTTGGGAACCCTGTACAGGGTCGCTATGAGTTGGAACCAACTCCACGACACTTAATAACAACCCTCTAGGGCAGGGGTGGGAACCTTTTGCCTACCAAACTTTACTGTATCATTCATGGACCATACAAAATTATTAACTTAAAAATTACAGTATTTGGTGTAAAAAAACATTTAATTAACTCACCCCTAATGGCTCTTTGAGTTAATACAGACTGCAAAGCTGTTTGAACTGCCAGGTCGGCGGTTCAAGCTAACCAGCTGCTCCTCGGAAACCCTATATAGGGTCGCTATGGCCTAGAACTGACTCAATGGCACTTAACAACAGTAACATGGCTGGAATTGCAGTTGCCTTGGCAGGGCCAGACCAAATGATTTCAAGGGTCTGATATAGCCTGCGGGCCGGATATTCCCTACCCCTGCTCCAGAGTGTTGATAAGTTCTACTGAGGCTGTTGAGACTCAAAACTTACCTGTATAGGGTTTCTGAGAAGCAGTTGCTGGGTTTGAACCACTGACCTTGCAGTTAGCAGTCCAGTACTTGTCCTATAGTGTGACATACCAGGATTGTAGGATAAGCTCTAGACTAGTCAAATGTTTGCTTTGCAATTCCCCTCGATCAGAATTATCTACCTACTTAAGTTTTCAGAGTTTGAGGCCCATTGATCTTATATCTGGATATGAATATCTTCATGTAGGATTCAGTAATTCTACATTTCAATAGATTTATTTATTATCTTGTGTATACGAGAGGGCTCCAAAAAGTTTAAAGAAAATTAGAATGAAAAGATAATGAAATTTTTACAGGAACTTTTTGAAGTCCCTAATAACATACTGTGTGTTATTATGTTGTTAAGTGCCATTGAGTCGATTCTGACCCATAGCAACCCTGTACAGGGTTTCCGAGGAACAGCTGGTGAGCTTGAACCACCGACCTTGCAGTTCAAACGGCTTTGCAGTCTGGCGCATTAACCCACAGCGCCACACCAGGACTCGGGGACTACAAAAAGTTCCTGGAAAAATTCCATTATCTTTTCATCCTAATTTTCATCAACGTTTTTGGAGCCCTCTCATATATATAAGATAAAGAATAAACCTATTTGAAATGTAGAATTACTGTGGAGCCCTGGTGTGGCACTGTGGGTTAAGGTGCCAAACTGTAAAGCTATTTGAACTGCAAGGTCAGCAGTTCAAGCTCACCAGTTACTCCTTGGAAACTCTATACAGGATCAGAACTGACTCGACAGCACTTCACAACAATAGTAACATATTGTATACATAAATACACAGGTTTTCTATTTGATATTTTACTTGTAAACATCTGTAAAGCCAAGGAATAAAAGTAATATTCTAGAGATCCTTTTTGTTGTTTAAGTGCATTGAGCCAGTTCTGACTCGTAGCAACCTTCTGTAGGGTTTCCAAGGAGTGGCCAGTTAGTTTAAACTGCCTACCTTGTGGTTAGCAGTCCAGTGCTTATCCTACAGTGGCATGTTATAATTTAATACTATTAAAATGCAATTTGGTATTATTTTTCATAGTTATACAAATTTGATCATGAAGTTAATGTGCAATCTTAACAATATTTTTAGGTTCCTTCTCAAGATGATGCTAAACCTACCCAAAGGCAGTTCAAGATTCTGACCTTTAATGATTTAATAGCGTCTGCTGTTCCTATGACACCTGAAGATCCGTCATTTTGGGACTGTTTTTGCTTCACAGAAGAAATTCCAATACGAAATGGTACCAAGTCATGATATGATTACCTAAGTAACAAAAGAAAGATGAAAACTGTAATCTTATGTATTCAATGAAAAATAAATACCTAAAATATGAAATTTTGTTTCACAAAACAGTTGGGGAAAAAACCAAACCCTTTCCTATTAATTAAAGCAGACCTTCAATTTTAACATCACTCAACAGAACAGTTACCTTTTTTTTGTTCCCCAATCACTTTGAATTGACAAAAGAAACAGAAAAGGGTGACAGAATCTTAAATATATGCTATTGTAGAAAAAAATTAGAATATGCAAAATGGAGACATTTAGATCTTATGTTTCAGAGAAAGCTACTCTTAAGATCGTGTATATCCTTTTAGACCTTTTTCTTGGCAAATAATTTCTTGCAAACGTAGTTGTTTATAAAATGGGAACATACTCTGTGTGTATTTTTGGTTTTTTAACTGTGCATCTACTGTTCATAAATACACTTCTGTGGCGTTCTTTTAGTGACTATAAAATACTTCATTGTATGGCATTAATAGTTAGCATAATAGTTAGCATGATTTTAATTGATGGTAGCAATGTCCAAATTTAATTGGCTTAAACAACCAAGGACATTTGTTATTTTATGTAACACACAGCATAGAGGTGTCATTAAAGATGGTTTTTGGCTCTGCAATCCTCAGTTTAATTCATTCTACTTTAGACCTGCCCAGCTTATGGTCACTGAGGCCACTGCTGTGACTCCCAGCTTCGTATCCCATAGAAGCACATACATAGAGCTGGAAGGAGATTTCTACTCTCTCTGCTCAATTTTATCAGTGAGGAAGAATTTCCTCAGAAGACTTTCCCCTCTGTTTCCGTGACTGAGGGAAACCAATATTTGACATTATTATCCTCTGTGTGGGAAGTGGACTCTACTGATCAGGAAGAACGTGGGTCACAGAAGTAGGAGAATGGTACTGAGGGGGGGATAAGGAAAGCTTGCCATAATACACTCTTTCCTAAAGTTTGATTGTCTACATTCATTCCTATGAGCAGTGGTGCAATGAATATCCTTGTAACCAAATTTGAGGTACATGCTGAATTCTATCATTAAGAAAGTTTCTAGAAGTGGAGTAACTAGTTTAAAAGGCTACAGCATTTTTAGAGCTGTAATAGTATTACTAATTACTCTCCCCAAAGGCACTTATACTAGAAGTAGATGAGGGCCCACTCCCACCTAGCTACTCCCTGGTCAACATAAGTATTTTTTTCTATTTTGTGTGTTTAATCTGCCAATGTAAGTGAAAAATGGTATCTTATTTAATGGGTGTTTCTTTGATAATGATGGTATCTTTTTAGTTTTTGGTTTTTTTTTAACCAACTGCCTGATCATAGTCTGCCTATTTTTATTTTAGCAAATAGGACTTAATTTAAAATTGGAACATAATATATAAGATACCAGGACCATCATATTGATGACAGAATTTATTATATGTTGTAGTGCATGTTTTTTGGGAGTTAAAAGTCTTGTTATTATTACATACCAAGTAAAATAATTTCATTTTTTCTATTACTAAAATTAAAATAGTGTGTAGGTTGTATAAAAATACTTTTTGCTTAGTTAAAAAGAGAATTGGAATGTTTTATAATTTTTTATTATTAAGCATGTCCAGATATTCTAGGCATAGTAAATAATCATGTTTAAAAGCAAAATCAAATGGCATTTCTAATAAAGGAAGTATTGTTAACTCTAGCATGAATGTAATGATGATATGAAAAACCATTTGTGTCTTGTCATTCTAATAAAACTATTAACAGTTACCATGGAAGTTTCATGAACTAGGCACTGTGTTAGAGTTGGTCTTTTTTACGTTTTTTTTGTTTTGTTTTGTTTTGTATTTTAAATCAAAGCTTCACCCTTACTACTCAAAAGTATAGAGTCTTGGTGTTACGCTGTGGGCTAACGTGCTGGACTGCAGTCTGTTTACGTCACAAGGTTGGTGGTTCAAGCTCACCATCCTCTCCTTGGAGACCCTATACTGACTGGGTGGCTGTGTGTTGGAACCGACTTGGCGGCACTTAAAAACAACAACTCCAAAGTTCTCTCCTGCATCACCAATTTTTTCCTCTGAACTGAATCATTTTCTTCAACTTATAGTCATTTGTCCTCTTTAAGTAATTATTGAATCTCCATCTGCTTCACCCCCTTTTTTTTTTGTTAAATCTTTACGTTAAGATGATTCTTATCTTTCATGCTCTGTTAAGCTGATTGTTCATTCACATTGCTAATGCTAATAGTTTCTTTCTTAAAGTTCCCAAATTAGAGTATTCCAGGTCCTAATTCTCATGACCAGTTCCTTTTCCATCTGTATAGTTTTCAAGACTTAAGGCTTCAAAGATGAGGCTTTCTACTCCCGTAAAGATTTACACCCTCGGAAACCCTGTACAGGGTCGCTATGGGTCGGACCCGACTCGATGGCACTTAACAACA